CTTCTGAAATTGCTCCGGGTTGTGATCGAGTGGTTTTGCCCTTCATGACAGTTTCTGGGGTTGCGATCGAGTGCTTTGCTCTGTCAGGGCTCCGAGGTTGTGATCGAGTGCTTTGGCTGAAGGAGTGATTGAGCGTTCTGAATTTCTGTTCTGTTTCTCCTCTGTTTGAACTCCAAAAGCATCCAAAGTACCTGAAAACAACCAAATATGCAATGCACATGCAATTCTAATGCAAAACCGTCCTAAGTATGCAAAACACACTAAAACGACTACTAATGAGTTGAAACAATGACAAAGTGATGAAGAATGAATGCTTAAATCATGCAATTTATAGACTATGTTCCATGTTCATTGTAGCTTTGTGGACTTCAAGGAAAAGTTAAAAAAAAAATCTGTAGACATAACAAATTCAATCATTAGTCAATACCAAAAGAATCTTTGTATGAAACACAAAACAGAAAATATGAAAGTTTTTCTAACAAAATAAAAAAAAACAAAAAATTTGTCAGTACTATTTCTTTTGAATTCACCAAAAAACAAACTATTGTTTTCAAAATCGTATACATGTTCGGTGTTTATTTCTACATGGCTTCGAAGAAGTGTTTATCTTGTTTGGTGAGAATAGAGAATGCGACTTAGATGTATTTATAGTATTCTCAGAAAATTGTAGGGTTTTCTTTGAGTGAGTAGAAAACATCTTGATAAGCAAGTATAAAATATCTTCATAATATAATATATTTGGAATTTATTTAGGAAAAAATATAAATTAGTTATGGAATATGATAGTAATATGCTAAAGATTACCATTTTTATAGGAAAAAAATCGATCACATTTATGTTTATCGTTAGCATTCAAATTTTATTTTATTTTTGGCAATAAATCTTTAATGCCATAACTAAAAAACGTTAGAAAAAATTAATTTTTTTTAAACATTAAATTAAAAACGTGTATCAAATTAATTTATTGTTAGCATTAAATATTGACTTGTTAGAACAATATATCAATTTATTGAGTTCATTTTTGTTATGACATTAAAAATTTATTACGAATTTTTTGCTAGCATTTAAATAGGAAACCATTTTATTTGAAAATATTTGTTTGTTATAACTAAATATACGATTTTTATATTTTCAAATCAATAATTAAATTGTTAGATATTATTAACCACCATTTACATAATAATAATTCCAAAATAAATGCCAAGATATCTTCGAGAAATAAAAGAATTGAATATAGGATGTTTAAAGAATATGCTTTAATTTAGTTCTCAAGATCTCCGAAGATTGATATAACTAATTATTGTTATTGATTTCGAATCCAAATTTGGTAAGTTTTAATTTAGTCGTTTAGTTAGGAATCATTTCCAATTTATTTGTTGTGATTGAATGTCGATCTGATATTATTCCTTTTATTTAGGAAACAAATGTGATTCAAATTTTTTTTTTTACCATTTTTGTAGGAGACAAATTTATTATCAAATATTCGTTTGTTAGAAGAATATTGAAATATTCTAGTTATTTATAAATATTGAATATTGAAATGGTAATTAAGATTTGATTACGATTAGGTTTTGGTTAGTTTTTATATTTAGTAGATATGACCGAGATTTTGGTTATTAATAGTTTTAATTTTTAATATTTGACTTCCATATGTTAGGATCACAAATCTCGTAATCATAAAAATAGAAAATGTTTTAAGAGTTTATTTATTGATTTGTATTTGATTAAGACATATATTTTTTTCAGATTTTATTTGTAGAGACTAAATGTATAATATTGAAATTGTTAAAGGATTTTTGAGGCCAAATATTCACCAAAAATGTATATATAGATATAAAGAAATAAAGTGAATCTTCTTTTTTTTTTGGTGAGTGAGAGGGAGGCAATGCCTCCCCCGATTTATTCAAACGAAAAAATAAAATTACAAACGAACTAAACGCGGGAATTCTTTCCCATGAGAATCGTCTAACATAATCTCATGGACCACATCAGGACAAAAATCAAGAGAAAGAAAACCAAAATCCAAAGAAAACGCATAGTTTGCTAATCCATCCGCAAGGCGATTAGCTTCCCTATACACGTGAGTAACCCGGACTAACCAGTCCCTTGAGATAAAGCCATGGCACAATCGCACCAGGAAGGACAGCGGGTGAGCATCGCTTACCCCTGTCTTAATAAAACCCACCACCAACTCCGAATCCACCTCTAACTCCACACGTCGAAAACCGTGCTCCCAGGCAATGACTAGCCCGTAGTACACTCCCCATAATTCTGCCAGCGGAGCCGAACATATCCCTATATGTAACGCAAACCCGCCTAGCCACTCACCATCACTACTCCGGATAACCCCTCCAGCCGCCGCCGGTCCCGGGTTTCCGTGTGACGCGCCATCCGTCGACAGTTTAACCCATCCTTCCATCGGCCGCTTCCAAGAGATCATCTTCTCCACCCTATTACCCGAGCTCCTCTCTCCCCTGACCAGCTCGTGGGATCGCATGCTCTCGGTCGCCATATCTTTTAAAAACTGAACCCGATCCCTGCACTTCTTGTTTTCCCCGAAAACATTCATACAACGCCACTTCCATCCCCACCACACTGCCATACTAAACAATACTGGCCATTGAACTTCCCCCGAACTCCATTCTGCTTTTAAATTCGCCACTAACCACTCCAAAAGTGACGCATCAAAAAAGGCTTGCCGCCGGTTTTGAGGGACCAAACGCAACCACACTCCGGCCATGGCGGGACAATCCCTCAACACATGTAATGTCGATTCTATCGCTCCTTTACAAACCTGACAAACCTCATCATCTCCTAAATGCCGCCGTACCCTTTCAACATTCGTCATGATCACTTGATTTCCCACGAGCCATAAAAACACTCTAACCCTTTCCGGTACTAAAACAGACCATATCAACTTGAAAAAACCCTCCATACACTGTCCCGGTGCTATCTCATATGTTAACATAGCATACGCCGAGCTCACCGTAAATTCCCCATTCGAGTTGCCCAACCAAGTCAACCGGTCCTCTGTCCCGAGCTCCCCTTTCACCACCACCGCTAATAACCGCTGAATCATCTTTGCCGGTAGATAACCCACTAGGCGTCCCATATCCCAACCCGCTTCATCTTGCCAATAATCTGCTACACACCTACCCTTCTCCTCCTCTGGTAGAGTTATTTCGACATGTGCTAGTAATGGTTCTGTACCTAACCATACATCCGTCCAGAACTTAATGTTTCTCCCATCACCCGGGACCCATCCTAAGCCGCGTGAGACTACCTCTCTCAGCCCGACCCCCACACTTCGCCAAGTAGACGACCAAGTACTTTTAGGCACCACCCATGAAGGATCATGAACATTCCCCAGAAATAAAGTGAATCTTCAAACACTGAATGGTTAAGTGGCGAACAAAAAAAAAAAAAAAACATTTCTCTCTCGACTAGAACCAGTTCGCCCTAGCCGCCTTCAACCGTAGCCTCTCGTTCTGACCTCTCCGGCTTCCGGCGCTCCTCGCCGGAGTCGTGAGAGGATCCGTCGGTTACTTTCCAGTCGTCTCTCTTTGGTTTCGGGTCACTCTGCTACTTTGAGAAAGTTTTGATTCGTTTGTTTCCGAGCGGCGTTTGGTGATGGCCTCTTCCGTTTCTGGCAAGATTTCCTCTCCGCGTCGTTGTCTCTTGATTCGTAGAGGAGATCCGCGATTTCCTTTGTGATCGTCGGTGGTTTCGTTCTTCTCCGCCTTTGATCTGGACCTTGTCTAGGTTTCGGGCGATGGTGATAGGCGGAGCCGTTGCTTCCTTTATGACTGAGACGAGTTTGTTTTATCTCCGGTAACTTCCGACATCCGTGTCTTTCATCTTTGAGGTAGTAGAGTTTTGTCCCTTGTTTGTTCAGTTGGAATAAGTGTTATTAGGTTGGTTTCAATCGTTAGCTTGGTCGTTATCTGAGAATTAGCTGGTTGTTTGGCCCTTTCTCGACGGGCTGTGTGTATGGTTTAGCCATATGGTCCGGTTTTTGTGGCTCTCAGTCTCTGGTTCTCAGCGGAAGTTATGAGTTTATGTCATTTCTGTTCATTCCTCTTTGCTGGCCTTCCCCTAGGACTTAATCGAATCGCATTCGTCACCATTCTTTCCCTCTGAAGGTTTTGGTGAGTCGATTAAGCGGCTGTTTAGTCTCCTCCACACGAAGTTAATTTCAGGTTTGGTCGAGACCTGTTTTGTTTGTGCTGCCTCCTAACCGGTTTCGACATTTGTTTCGATTTCTCCGGCCCCTGGCAGTTTCGTCGGTCTTGTCAATTATCTTTTGAAAGATTCGTCTTGCCATCCCAAGGAAGCACAAGTTTCAAATTTCTGAAGTCTACCTACATCAAGCGAGGACAAGTAGAGTTGAAGCCTCGGTTGGTTATTGTCGGTGTTCCAACATGTCTAATCGTTTTCCGCTCTCGAGTTTGGTCTAGTTTTTGAGTTTTGAATAGTTGTGTTTGCATATCTCATTTAAGAGTCTTTGTTTGTATAAGAAGTTGTTTCCCGGGTAGTCGGGCTTTGTCTCTCGAGATTTCGAGCTTAGTTAGTCGGAATCTGCGGGCTTTTGTCTCTTGAAATTTCAAGCTTAGTTTAATTGGAGTTTGCGAGCTTTGTCTCTCGAAATTCCGAGCTTTGATTCCGGTGTGTCCGGCTTATGTATCTTTACCTTGTTTTTAATAATACCAGACGACAAAAAAAAAAAAAAGATATAAAGAAATAAAGAATATTATTATAAATGAAAAGAAATACTTCGAGGAAAAGGAAATGAATAAAAAAAATAGAAACAATAATTTGTGTATGTCACTGATGACCTAATCCATCGACCCCCACCCATAGGATGATTCTAGAATTCTAGTTGAGTCGGTCAATAAAAAACGAACGGTGACAAAACTTACACGTGTCGAATAGATCTTCCAACTGATAATTTTACATTTTCTCGCCAAGGATTATATATATTGTTCCTTTTGTGAAGAAATCCATTCATCGTTACTTGTTCATCTTTTTCCAAACCCTAAATCGCTCTTCCAAAAGTTCTTACGATTCTCTCTTTCAAGGTACTTGTTTCTTCTGATCCGTTTTCTTTTGATTTTGCCTCTAATCTCCGATTCTGGTTCCTTGAATCTTTGTTTAATTGATCCGAAAAATTATATGTTCGTTTCGTCAAATCCAACCTTTTGATCCGAATCTCTTCGCTTACATCTGTTCAATTTCGTGTTTGATTGTCCAATTGTCATAGAAATTTAGGGTTTTTTTGAGAACGATCATCAATTTAGTTTTTGTGTGTGTTTTCATCGTGTTAGGTTTAATTTGTTGCCGCTTCTTAAGTGATATTGCGTTTTACTGTTTTGGATCTGTTCAAATTCTTGATTGATTTTGCGATTCTCATAGAAAATTAGGGTTTTTTTAGGACGATAATGTGCGATTGTTCTTTGTGTTGTGATCAATTTAGTTTTGTTTGCTGATCGATTTTTCTACTTTGCCCTCTTTTGTTTTTTTCCAGATGCAAATTTTCGTGAAAACACTCACTGGCAAGACCATTACTCTCGAGGTTGAGAGCTCTGACACCATTGACAATGTTAAGGCAAAGATTCAGGATAAGGAAGGTATTCCTCCGGACCAGCAGAGATTGATCTTCGCTGGTAAACAGCTGGAGGATGGTCGTACCTTGGCCGATTACAATATCCAGAAGGAATCAACGCTACATTTGGTTCTCAGGTTAAGAGGTGGTATGCAGATTTTTGTGAAGACGTTGACTGGAAAAACCATCACTTTGGAGGTTGAAAGTTCAGATACTATTGATAATGTTAAAGCTAAGATTCAGGATAAGGAAGGAATCCCTCCGGATCAGCAGAGGCTTATCTTTGCTGGTAAGCAGCTTGAAGACGGTCGCACACTCGCTGATTACAATATCCAGAAAGAGTCTACCCTCCATTTGGTGCTTCGTCTCAGAGGTGGTATGCAGATTTTTGTGAAGACCCTCACTGGAAAGACCATTACTTTGGAGGTTGAGAGCTCAGACACTATCGATAATGTTAAAGCTAAGATCCAGGACAAGGAAGGGATCCCACCAGACCAACAGAGACTCATCTTCGCTGGGAAACAGCTTGAGGATGGTCGGACTTTGGCTGATTACAACATCCAGAAGGAATCTACCCTTCACCTTGTGTTGCGTCTTCGTGGTGGTATGCAAATATTTGTGAAAACTTTGACAGGCAAGACCATAACGTTGGAGGTTGAGAGCTCAGACACAATCGATAACGTCAAGGCTAAGATTCAGGACAAGGAGGGAATCCCACCAGACCAACAGAGGCTCATCTTCGCTGGTAAACAGCTCGAGGATGGTCGGACTTTGGCTGACTACAACATCCAGAAGGAATCTACCCTTCACCTTGTGTTGCGTCTTCGTGGTGGTATGCAAATATTTGTGAAAACTTTGACAGGCAAGACCATTACGTTGGAGGTTGAGAGCTCAGACACAATCGATAACGTCAAGGCTAAGATTCAGGACAAGGAGGGGATCCCACCAGACCAACAGAGACTCATCTTCGCTGGTAAACAGCTCGAGGATGGTCGGACTTTAGCTGATTACAACATCCAGAAGGAGTCGACTCTTCACTTGGTTCTTCGTCTTCGTGGTGGAAGCTTCTGAGCTTTGTGATCTGTGGTCAAAACTGGTGTTGTTCGATTGAGCCTCGTGCACTTGTGTGGTGATGTCTGCAAAAGAAGAAGACTTTCTCTATCGTATGGAATGTTAGATGTTTCATTTACTGTTTTCCTTATGTTCTTTTTGTTGTGAACCTTTCGGTTGGGCTTTTAATGGGCCTTTATGTTTCAAATTTCAATAATAATCCAAGTGCACTTTAGAAAATCTGTTTTGTGCTTTCAAGTAACAAGTTTATTAGTTCCCCGAGTCTATTGCATCCTACTATTGTGGTATGTGTAACTCGTCAAAATATGGGATTGGGTCTATGGGAGGGTATTATTTTGGCTAAGAATATGAACTTTTTTGGTGTAGTAAAAATGTTCTTGTTATTTTTTTGAACCATTTTTTCTCATGTCTTGATTGTATTTTTTTTTTGGTGAAGTCCCCCTGTTTTATTAAGAAAAATTAAAAGAAATTACAATCTAACATGTCTCGGGCACGAAGACCCTCGAGCATCGTCCAGCATAATCGAATTAACACAATCGAGCTCATGTCTTGATTGTATTATCGCGATACTGTGTATATGTCATAAGTTAATATATATACTGTATGTTTATTCTATAACCAAAAACACACTTTAGATTTAATTTTTCTGTTTTGTTTTATTTATTTAATATTTCTGTTTTTAACATAAACATCAGGTTTAAGTAGTATACACGCCACAAAATATCAGGATCTTGTAGAATACTTAAGTACATATATATAACTTTGAATGTCACAACATATACAAACATTGTGTTAGCCATTAGAGAGATCACTAGATTTGTGGATTGGGGAAAATTTTGAAGGAGCAGAGACCAGAGAGTTATAAAAGAGAGTGAAGAAAGACGAGAAGAAGGTTAAGGCCGGTGATGTGATCGGAGAAGGATCAAGAGTATTCACCATTGAATTCCTATGAATTAAAAAAAAAAAAAATCCGATGAATTGTTTTTTATGTCTCTTTATGAAACTGATCAGATTTTGTAGATAGAGATTGATTTTGTGTCCGTATAATTTGTGAAAGTAAGAAAAATAAATCATAACACGATGGAAAAAAACCAGAAACATATGTTGGGCGTATCTTATGTACTTTGGATCTTGCTTAATAAATTGACAAAAAATTAAAAAGTTAGAAAATAGGTAACGAGTGTTTGACCAAAAAAATAGGAAACGGTTTTGGTGAAATTACATTAAATTGATAAAAGAAAACATCCATTATATTGAAAAAGAGTTTACAATGTCATGATACAAAGTCAATAAAAGGGTTTACATGATACATGCAAGTATCAAACGCTAAAGCAACCAAATCAAAGGCCTAGACTTGCAGAAGAAGAAACGGCAAACTCTCGGATATATTATTGACTCAGTGACTTGGCCTTTCCTTGCATACGAGCGTCCAATTACCTCGACCCCTTTAACCCTAACATAAGGCCATGGGGGGAGCGGCATATCCTCATCAAATTTGGAATCATAGGCCTCCTCTATCGTTTTAAACAAGAAACTGAGACGTGCCTTGTCCGCTCTCTCAATCTCATCAAGTGTCCGGTGGTGAACAAGATCTTGACCTTTTTGTAGACCGATGCGTACAGAAGAAGCAAGAGCTGACTGATTGATAAAGAGCAAGAGAATCATGGAGTTTATGAAGCTGATTCTACAAGTATTCACCATTGTCGAATAGAATCTGGAGCTTTTAGGGTTTTCTTTGTTACTTGAATTCGAGAATCTTTGTTTAGAGTTGCTTTGGATGTTTCAGAGCTTCCATGTGTGGGTGTTCATATATATAGAGGATATACCTTAGTTTTGTTTTTCCTATTTTAATTCGAAGATAAGTGTGTTACGTGTATAAATTGGAATCGGAATATCAATTTCTCTTTTCTCTAAAACCAAAAATATAATTATATTTTCTTTAGATTATTGATAGATTTAATTAAGATTTTCCGACGTTAGTTAAGATTTTATTTTACCTTTGTAATTTACCAGTTTTTAATTTTTAAGGCTTTATCTAAATTAAGAGCCGCACATACAACTACAAGAGTTTAAATAATAACATTTAAAGTTTAATGGCATATATTTGGTCAAATTTAGTGATCAAATAATTTCTTGTTTACTAATTTGTTTCGGTTTTAGTTTTTAAATCCTTTTTAATTGTATCAAAATTTATAGGAAACACATTAGAATTTATTTAATAACAAAACTATGGCCATGATCACGATAAATGTTTTAAAAAATAAATTCATACTCAAACTAAATAGTTTTCTTATATTTTATTATTACTAGGTGAGTACCCGCGCTACGCGCGGGATTTTGTTATAAATTTTGTTATACTATTTTTTTAAAATTTATTTTAATTTATATGTATATATTATTAGATTCCTGTATGTTTATAAAAATTATGTATTTGTCTAATTTTATTTATTATTTTTTAAATTTATTTTTGTATATCGTTGCATGTTTGAAACTAATATATACATTTTTTTAAAAAAATTATCATTTAGCTTTTAAGATATATTTTAATATTATTTTTATTATTATTTTAGTATAATAACTATACAATTTGTAATTTTATATGGAGTTTATCAACTCTAATTGAAATGTTTTGTTTTTTTTAGTTAGAACAATTTATTTAATGTAAAAAAAAAAGCAAATATCCTCAAAACTTTAAACTTGAATGTAAAACAAAATGATTGGCTCGAAAAGACCATGTCCACAATTGTATTTAAGTATTTGTATAAGAAAATTGCTTTTTAAATTCCATTTTCTCTTGGTCTCCATTTTTTGTCCCTCCACTTTAACTGATTGTAGTACTTGTTGTCGGCTTCTTGTTGGGATTTGGTTCCTCAAATGTGCTCCAGCCCTATAATGAATATTTTGTGTTATATATGTTTATGTAAATTTTTTTTAAAAAAAAATTATATTTACCTCGTCAAAGTCTTTATAACTTATGTTTGACACCATGAAATTCTGATTCTTGGGGGTATAGTTGAGAGGGGATACTCTTATTTGGAAACGGAAATGTTTGCCAGCAAGATCACTTAAACATGTTGGTAAGATATTGTTGTTACCTTTGTTGCCCTACAAAAAATGTTTATTTTTAGGTTTAATTGTTATTAAAAATGAGTAAAATTTGCAATATTATAGGATAATTACTTTCCTAAGATTTTATTTACCTTCTCTTCCATAATTGTGGTTGCCGTTTTGTTTGTAAGTTTTCTCATTTCTTTGTCTAAAATCACAAATGTCGCACCATGTTCTCCATCATGAACATCAAGCTCCACTCGATACCTATGAAATAGTTGTATATAATAGTATTTAAATATTAAAAATTCCTAATTGTTATATCTTTAATTCGTTGTGTTTGCAATTTATTAAAATTAGCTATAAGAAAATTATAGCGTACCTAAGAATTCCTTCCTCATTAGACGTAACACAACTTTTGCATCGTAGTAGTGTTGTCCTTTTCTCTAAATTCCATCCACAATCTTTACAAGATCTGTATATCCATCCGTTTCTTTGTAGCACCCCAACAACATATGCGTTGCAAAAAAATTCAGCATCCTGAGTCTTTTAAAAGTGTTGTAGATTTATCAAGTTTAGTTAGTTGTACATGTATTTATATGTGATGATAAAATCTTTTGCTCTCATGATTCACTACAAGAAAACACGCGTTTTGCGAGGGAAGGATTCCTTGCTAATCCCTCGCAAAACGACAATCGCAAGGGATTTGCGAGAAACAACAGTTCCTCGCAATTCGCGTCTCGCAAATCGGTTAGCGTTGTAATTCCCTCGCAAATTTTGCTAGGAACTTTTTCCCTCGCAAAACACGCACAATTTGCGAGGAATTTTTACGGTAGCAAATGTCTTGCAACTACAATTCTTTTAAACAATTTTTTTTAATTTAAATTATATTATATATGTGCATACTACATATATATTATTTTTAATTTAATTCTATTAAAGTTTTTACTATTATATATAAAACCAAAATATCAAAAATGATTTTTTATTTAGATTATTAGTTGTTAATCAAAGTATCAAAAATTATTTATTTATTAATTTTGATTACAATTAAACAAAACAAACTTAATTAGAGAAAAAATAAGAAAATTAAAAAGCTTCAAAGCTTGCCCTCCGCCGCACCCCTCCGCCGTACTCCTCTGCTGCCGTTCTCCTTCGCCGCCGTTCTCCTCCGCCGTACTCCTTCGCCGCCGTTCTCCTCCGCTGCCGCTGAAGGGCGTCGTGAAACTCTGCTTCTTTCTACCTCTACCTGAATCAACATGTTTAGAACCTTTCTATCTCTACCTGAATCAACAAGTTTAGACCCTAAATCGAATTAAAACCCTAAATCGGAGAAGAAAAATACAAAAAAATGAGAAAGAAAACACTTAACCTTTCAAATCGAGGATGAGAATCTTCAGATCTCGAGGATGAGAATCTTCAGATCTGAGAAGATGAAGAGAAAATCGGAGAAGAAGTGAGAGGAAGAGAGAATCGGAGTATGAAGTGAATCAGAGAAGAGAGAATCGGAGAAGATAATTGGAGCATGAAGAGATCGGAGAAGAGAGAATCAGAGAAGGAAGAGATCGGAAAGATTAGGGTTTTCGCGATATGTGGCTGGGTTTGAGCTAAGCTCAAACTAGGTCATCCGTATATATAGATATTTTACACGTCGCACCTCCCTCGCAAAATTTGCTAGGATTTTGCGAGGAACCGCCAGAACAACCAATTAAAACGAGGCATATATTGCGAGGGAATTGCGAGGCGCCCTAGTAAATCCCTCGCAAACTCTTAATTAGGTTTTTAAAAAAAACCACAAAGACATGATGAAATATGATTAATCATATATGATTCATTTATTCTTATTTATACTATGATTCATTTACCACAACCAATTCTTATTTATTCATTTATTCTTATTTATACTATATGATTCATGATTAAAAACCACAAAGACATGATTAAATATGATTAAAAATATGCATAAATATTTTAAATAATTTAGGGTTTAGGGTATAGATTTGCGAGGGAAGTACTACGAACATCTTGCAAATCCCTCGCAAACTCATTGATTTAGGGTATGATTTTGCGAGGACATTACTAGTAATCCCTCGCAAAACCCTTGCAAAACCCTCGCTAAAACAGAAATATACAATAAAACACTTCTAAAAATATTTTTTGAATCATTAGGAAGGTAATTATCTTTATTACAATCTACTCCATCATCAGATTCTTCGAATTCGTCCGAATGTGCATTTTTTCAAATACATCAATGAGGTCTATATGTTTCTCTATTATATGGATCAAAGTCTATAACATTTTCAATAGAAAATGTTAGTATTGAAACCTATGGAATTTTTTGTTATGCATAACCACATATTCAACTTGCCCGATTATATGGTATATTGGATTCACTTTTATATATGAAAATCAAAGTTCGCAAAACACTTTTACGTACTTTAGGGTTTAGGGTAAAGATTTGTGAGGGAATTGCGTGTCATTTGCGACGGATAAGGTTGTTTCCCGCAAACTATTTGCAAATCCCTCGCAAATTTGCGAGGGAATTAGCCGTCGCAAATTTTGCGAGGGAATTACGACGCGCGTCCACGTTGTAGCAAATTACTTGCAATGCCCTCGCAAATTTGCGAGGGAATGTTTCCCTCGCAAAATTACCTCGCAAATCGACTGTTTTCTTGTAGTGATTGTAGAGTTATTTAAGTAACACTTTTAGATTTTATGTTATTTCATATAGCCATATAAGAGAAATTAATTTGTCTTGAATTTTGTGGTATGTCTAACGTCTCAAAAGCTCATTACTTGAAAAATTTTACATGTCAATGTTACGAACTTATAATAAGACACAAAATTGAAAAGAGAGAATGTCAAATGATAAGATATGAACCATAACGTAATAATAAGAAAATATTCAAGGTAAAATTACTAAACTAATAAGATATTAGGTAGCAAACAAATAAACTACAACACAAATCATTATTTAGTCAATTATCGAGTGATGACCGTTGACTATTAAATTAAAAAAATTAGAAAATAATAAAAGTAAAATGAAAGTAGTAATTGATTTATTAAAATAATTTTATAATTTTATTTTTATTTTGAAAAATCATTTAAGAAATGGATTAATAGAGGATTTAACACTATGAGACTTTTGATTTTCCCTCAATTAATTTTACTAATTTTTAATTTAAATAATGTTGAATGATACATGTCATTTTTTTGTGTGATGATGTGTCACTCAAATGGAGAGAGTTGGCCAACTTTTATATATATAATCATGACGCTGCAATTCCAGCAATACATCATCCATCTTCCTCGCGTTCTAACCGGAATTTGAACCTCAAATCATATTTGATATCTTCGATACAAAGAAGCTCTGGATTTTTTGGCGTCGGTACTCAGATACTTTCTCAAGAAGTTTGATGATGTTCAGATACCGTATTATCTTTCCTCAATTGAATTTACTGGTCTACCGTAAGCCGGACCGGCCGGTTTTATCTCGGTACACTTTAATAGTTTTGACCAAATAAACCCTAGATCTTTAGAAAATCAGAACGTTTCTTCTTTTCTCCTTTCTGCTTTAGTTCTTCTTCGCCGTAGCTAATCTTCACCTAGGATTGTTTTCTAATCTGATTAGGAATCATATCTTCTTCTAGCTTCCTAGAAATAAGTTTTTGAGTGTAGAATATGAGCGACGATATCGGTTTTTTTTTTCCCAGTGATACGAATTGTTGGTTATAGAATATGAGAATTTGAAATTGTGACAAAAGATGCTTACTTAAGCAAACCCTTTGGTGTGAAGAAGGATTGTAGCAATGGCGGTTTATCACCAGTCTTGAGGTGTGTTTAGGGCACTTACTATGCACTTTTCTTTCTCCCTTTGTGTATTTACTGGGATCACATGCTTGGTGAATGCTTAAGCACATCTTCCTCTGTAGAATTTTGTTGAGTTCTCGTAGTAAATAGTAACGTCTTCGTTTATATTTGGCAGGGTTACCGAAGTGCTTGTGCCTCTGATTCGTTAGTTTATAACTAATAGAAATATAAAAACGGCATCCTTATTAACCCTCGTAAGGACAGCAGTCTACCATTTAAGAAATGATTGTAGCTGCTAAACTAATTATTGCTTTCTCTTTTTGTGCATCTCCCAGGTTGGCAGGGAATTGACTACCAACTATGCAGAGTGTTCGTCTCATATCGGAGGATCATATGAATAACAAGTAATTTCTTCTTGCTATAGCCTTCCTTATTTCAACTGATTAATTGGTGGATTTCAATATCATGGCACTAAATAGTTCACCTGACTTTTTAATCAGGCAATATGTTTGGGGCCATGAGTGAACATGGGTTTTTAGGACAACTTGAGGATAGAAAGCATGTGAGTATTGTTGATATTTTACTTAATAATTGCAGTCGTTTGTTCAAATTTAATGACCAAATGATGAATGTTGTTACTGGTTTATTTGATATATTAGGACCAATTAGATGTTAAGAATGGAATCGTAGAAAAAATATATGGACTTACATATGTAAACTTGTTCTTGGTGAATCTTTCAATCTCTTGCTATGTTCACCATACACTTTACGACGCCTACACTTTTAGCCTTGTTTTGATTAGCCAAATCGTGTGCCATTCTATTTTCATTTTCACGCTTAGCTCTAGTGGAGTTGTATATGAGAACTTTGGCTATTTGGAAATACATATGGGCCATATGTCATGGGCTATTTTGTATAGCCCATTTGGTATTCATAATTAGATGCTGATGTGTTAAAAATTAATGCTGACTCATATTAACGAAATGTTTTGATTGGATGTTTAGAAAGCTGATGTGTCAGCTCCACAATAGCTGAAAATGCTGACGTGTCACTCTCCTGGAGAGAGTTAGCCTCCTTTTAAGTATTTGATTTAATGTAAAATGCTCTGTACAATTCTATTTAAATGAATTTAGTATCTATAATAAATGATAATAATAATAATTACTCAAGAACATGTGACCAATAATATTGTACCAAACAACTGATCTTAAGGGATTCATATTCAAAGAAATTTCGCATTAAAACTATAAACCGCCAGTGTACATGCAACTTAAAATACTTATGGGTACGAGTTTATGTTTTGGACATCAATGTAAACTTTCATAATTTGCAGGAATCTTACAAAATTCACTTGTGGCATTTATCACAAAATATGGATCCAACTCTGCGCAGACACTATACATAAACTTGGAAAAGTGTTTAACGGATAATATGATTTAATGTCGTTACACATCCCAATGCAACGGATCAAAATAAAATGTATGTGTATACATTTAATTTCGTACATGTTATATATCGTAAGCGAGTTCATATCCTCACTAACAAGAAACACAATTTCTTGACCAAAAGAAAAAAAGAAACGGTTTGTGTTACTATTATGGCGATAGTTGTAGGCTTACTTGAAATCTTCATAGCATTTGTTTTCTTTATTTTGTTCCAATGTGTATTGCTCCACAAGAAAACTCCCAAGCCTTTGCTCACGAACTGGCCGGTCCTTGGTATGCTTCCGGGTCTACTCCTTCAAGTGCCTCGTATCTAGAACTGGATCACCGAGGTTCTTGAGGCAACTGATATGACGTTTTGTTTCAAAGGTCCATATCTTAGTGGAATGGACATCTTGCTCACTGTTGATCCGGTGAATATCCACTACATTCTAAGCTCAAATTTCGCTAATTACCCTAAAGGTATGGAGTTTAAGAAGATCTTTGAAGTCGTGGGTGATTCCATTTTCAACGTTGACTCGGGTTTGTGGGAGGATATGAGGAACTCATCTCATGCCATTTTTAGCCATCAAGATTCCCAAAGGTTTTGGGTGAGTACAAGTGTAAACAAATTAAGGCAAGGGCTTGTTCCTATTCTTGAGAACGCTGCTGATAAAAATATCCTTGTCGACTTCCAAGATTTGTTCCAGAGATTCTTGTTTGATACATCTTTGATTTTGATGACCGGGTATGATCCAAAATGTTTATCAATGAAATGCCTAAGGTTGAGTTCGTTGACGCGGTAGATGGTGTTTCAGACGGGGTTTTCTATAGGCATGTTAAGCCGGTTTTCTTGTGGAGGCTCCAATATTGGATTGGTGTAGGAGTCGAGAAAAGATTGAAACTGTCTAGCGGTTTTCGATGAACTTCTCGAGAAGATCATAACGGCTAAAAGAGAGGAGTTCAAAAGTCATGGGACTCAACATCACTCAAGAGGAGAGGCCTTAATTAGACGTTTTGACATACTACATGACTATGGACACGACCGAATATAAGTACTTGAAACCGAGTGATGATAAATTCATTAAAGACACTATTTTGGGGTTCTTGATAGCGGCAAGAGACACAACAAGTTCAGTTCTCACTTGGTTCTTCTGGCTTCTGTCCAAGAACCCTGAAGCAATGAACAAGATTCGGCAAGAGGTTAACAAGAAGATGCCGAGGTTTGATCCCGCGGATTTAGACAAGCTCGTGTATCTACACAGTGCCGTGTGTGAGACGCTAAGGTTATACCCACCAGTTCCATTTAACCACAAGTCACCGGCAAAGCCAGACATGCTTCCAAGATTTCAGACCAGAGAGATGGATTTCATACAGTGGAAGGTTAAAATATGAACCTTCATATAAGTTCTTGGCGTTTAACGCTGGTCCAAGAGCTTGCTTGGGAAAAAAGTTAACGTTCTTGCAGATGAAGACAGTGGCTGCGGAAATCATACGAAACTATAAAATCAAGGTCGTTGATGGGCACAAAACCGAACCTATTCCTTCTGTTCTTTTTCGCATGCAACATGGTCTCAAAGTTAATATCACTAAGATCTAGTGATAGTTTCATTTTTATTTTGCTGTTAAAGATTTCAATAAAAGATGCATGTTCACTCATGCTTAGACTTATTTTGCAAACACGTCTTTGTATCAGTCATTTGCAAACAGCAGCTCGTATTTCATAATTATATCATGGTTTCACAATAACATGTGCTCACATTTTGTGGTCTTAAGAAATCTGATGTTATGTTACCATTTTTGTTTTTTGCAAGCTATGGTTTGTTACCACTATGGGACCCTTCCCCACAGTTAAATCACCCAAAATCGAGAACACACGTTTGGCGGAAAAAAAAAAAAAAAACGTTCATAGTAACATGTGTCTTGACGAAAACATAAAAATAACTAAACTTGTTATCTTTTCTTTTTTTTTGTTCTGACAACTTTTACTTCTTTTTTTGGTTAACGTATACATCAAGAGCAAACTAAATAAGATACGTCCAACATATATATGTTTCCAAACTTTTTCATCCTGTTCAGTAGGAAAATAATAAGTTACGAGATCGTGATATAAATCAATTAATTGATTGGATTTTAAAAGGGAAATATTACAAAGTAGCCAAAAAAAACACATGAATTAAGGAAGTAACCATGCGTCAGAAACTTTTGGTAACTAACTCTTTTTCTTGTGGGGTAGGGGTAGGATAAATACGAAATTATCCTTGTAAGTTATAGTAATTACAAGAACTTTGTCGCCGGATATAAAAAAATAAGACAGTTTCGTGAAATTTTTGAAAATAGCATGTAACATTTAAATTTCGCATGTTATATTTAACTAAAAGACATGATATTTTAAAAAACATAATGAATTTTTAAGAAAAAACATTGTTACGTAGTGTTATTTTAAGAAAAAACATTGACATGGAAAATTTAATCTGAATAGTAACTTTTTAAAAAGAAATCACATGTAATCTTAAAAAAAATCGTGTATTACTAAAAAATAATCATCTTTTTAAAAAAGAAATCACATGTGATCTTAATAAAACACGCGTATTATTACAAAATAACATGATAAAGACAGATATTACACTGACTATAATGTTTTTTTCGAGAAATACTATGTGTTCTTTATAAATAACATGTAGTACGAGAAAAATACATGATAAAAAGAGATATATTATGCTATCACATGTAATTCGAAAAAAAAGCGTGTTACAAAGGACATATACGTAATTACACAGCCATTCCGACATGTTACAGACAGGATACTGTAGCTCATGGTTAGTTTGTGAATTCTTTTTGAATTCAAGGTTAGTTTCTATAAATTCTCATTTTAAAATGTATAGCAAGTATTAAATTTTTATTTTTGGTTTCCAATCAACCGTTTACCACATGTTTCCAAATTTTAATTTCATGTTTCTATTTATCGTATAATTCATGTTAAAGTAAGTTTTATTTATTTTTATTTAGTTTCACTTACTTATATTTTTTTCAAAACTTTATCGAGATGATTATCCAAGATCTTTTTTTTATTACTATATTTGATATTTTTTGTTCTGATAAGTAGAAAGCCATAACACTGCATGAAAATATTCTAAATTGGTAGATTGCAAAGGCATATTTTATTCATTTATTTGAGAAATTTCATATTGGTGGGATTTGAAGAAAACAATTTTTAAGTATCGATTGATCTTGTTTAAAAACCCTCAACTAAATTATAAATAGAAAACTTCTCAAGTAAGAGATTTTAATGAAAAATCATTCACATATTAATTGGTTCATTTAGAAGCCCACAACTAAATCATTAATAAAAAAGCCCTCACATACGACATTTTAGTGAAAAACCTTTTGATTTATCATTCCGTCTAAACTCTAAACATATATAGTCGATACTTTACATTATTTGTTTAAATTATATTTGTAATATTCGATGGTTTTTTTTTTGTCAGTAACTTTTTTTTTGTTAAAGGTTTTTGTCAATAACTTAGTTAAGGGGTTTTAAATGAACCGACTAGTACTTATGAGATTTTTCATTTAAATCTCTTAGTTAAGTTTTTTTTCATTAATAATGTAGTTGGCGGTTTCAAAATGAATTGGTAGATACTTCATGATTTGTTTTCAAAAAAATCTCCATATTGAAATTCAAACTAATTGGTTGAATATATTGTAAAACCATATTCACAACTAAAGTATTTTTTAACATTGGACATATCGTCTTATTTATAATCTAATATAATCAAATTAAAAGTCCCGTAATCTAATCTAGCGAGTTTATATATTTTAACATGTTAAAAGAGATTATAAGTTGAAGAATGAGTTCTAAATCATCACTTTAGATTTTTCTTTTAAACTTTTTAAGTGTGAATAAAATTAAATATTCGATTTAAGTGTTATATTTGAAAAACACACAAAACTCTTATCTTCATGTTTTTTTTTTCCTTAATTTACAAAATTTCGCCTCATATTATGTTATATTTTTATTCAAGAAAAAAGGATAAACAAAAGAGATAGTCATAATGTTAGAACTTTAGATACGCAACGTGATTGCATGTGATGTAAAATTGTTAAAAAGATAAAATTAAGTACACCCATTCCAAATTTTTCACGCAAAACTTACTCGAAGCAAACTTAATCGAGAAGATTGGAGAAAGCGGGCCAATTCTCAGGGGACTCCACAATTGAAACTAACTTTGCAAGTCTAGGACTTTGATTTGGTTGTTTTAGGGTTTGATACTTCGATGAATCATATAAATCCTCTTTTTTAGTTAACTCTTCTCCAATTTAATGAAAATTCACCAAAACTGTTATACGTACACAAAATCTGATCAAAGTCTCATAAAGACATAAAGCAATTCACAAATTATACGTATACAAACTTGATCTCTATCCACAAAATCTGATCAAAGTATTATAAAGACATAAACCAATTCTCCTTCTCCCATCACCCATCACCAACCTTCACCTCCTCCTCGTCTTACTGCACTCTCTTTTATAACTTTGATAATTTATCCATCGTGGGCACATGCTGAATTAGGGTTATAAATTGCATGAAAACCAGAACTGATCCTGAAAATTTGAAGAGTACTGGAAGCAATGACATATATATTTTTTTAATTTGTTACTCTTTATAGAGATATACATATATCCTCTAGATACTTGGCCTACTGTATTTTGAGCCCTTGTATTTTGAGTTATATCTATTTAGGGTATCTATAAGACATGACCATACAAAACTATATAATTAAGTATCTAACTATGGATTTTGTTTAATTAGGTAGCTAAGAGAGAGAATGGTGTTTATACATTTTTGTCCTTCTTCTTTTACACATATAACTATTTGTCTTCTCCTTTCTTCTTCTATGAGATTTCTTCGACATTGTTTCCGGTGATTTTTCGGCGTTATCTCCGATCACCGTCTCTCTTCCAATTTCTCCTATTTTTTCGCCTTTACCTCCATTTCTTCACAAACAGAAACATGAAAAGGAAAAAGGAATGTCTAAACGAGTTTGGGAGGAACTAAATTTAAATTGAAAAATTTGGGGATGAAAATTATGGTTTTGTAATTTAGGGTGAAGACGGAAAGAAATGAGAGAAAGAAGTGGGAAAAATAGAAGAAGAAAAGGTGACGAAGTGAAATTGGGAGTTCGAGTTGCAGGTAACAACGGAAGAAGAAAAAATTTGAGAGACGTGACGGCGGAGGAAAATACTCAAGAAGAGAAGAAGATTTTTTTTTGTTCGCGACATTTATAAAATAAGATAACGTCAAAGTTAACCATTAACACTTAAATTATCATGATAAATAAATATGATAAAGTATAAGTTAACGATAGTAAATAAATTATCAAAGTAAATAAAGAGGTTAATAAATAAGTTAGCTGATACCAATCATATAATAAATAATTTAACACGATAAATATAATTTTACCATATCATTGTTACGTTATCGTGATACAATATGCTTTATATTGTTAATCAAATAAATAATCACGAAGAATACAATCTTGTTATTTCCTCTGGTGATGAATAGTATTTTCGATGTTAGCTGAACAAAGTTTTTACTAAAAATTAGTACAATACAATAAGATTTACACTGTAAACAAAATAAATAATCACAAAATCAATGTTTATCAATTAAATTATTATGATAAATAAATATGATAATGTATAAGTTAACAGTAATAAATAAATTATTAAATTAAATAAACAAGTTAATATATAAGTTAGTTGATATCAATCATCTAATTATTGATTTAACCCGATAACTATGAGTTTACCACATAACTTATAAATTTATCGCGATAAACTTGGATTTACAGTACTAATCAAATAAACAACCACAAAAATCATTGTTTTTTATTGATTCTGATGATGAACAGTGTTCCCGATGATAGATGAACAGTGTTTATTTTTTCTGTTAGCTTTAATTTTCTTACCTTGATATTTTTTCTGTTAGCGCGCATACATAATCAAGGATACTTTAGGCATTAATTAATCTAGAGGAGAGAGAACTAATAAAAAAAATAACGAAGGTTACTTTCTTTATTATTCAATCGTCTGGGGTTTTTAATTAAAATAACCCATATATTTACTTGAAAATTATAAGATCCTGATATTTGTTGTGGATACTACGTAAAAAGTTAATGTTTATATATTTAAACTTAACAGTTTTTGGTTTTAGAATAAACAGAGAAATATGGTATATAGAGTTAAACTCATGAGTCATGTAAGCGCTAACGCAAAGAAAACAATCAAGGCATGAGAAAACAATGGTTCAAAATAACAAGATTAATTCACTTAGGTTTATAAAAACACACAAATTAGGCAAGTTTCAGTGTAAGTAAACAAATCTCTAGACTAGGTTGTTAAGCTAGGTCTAGAACCAAGTCTTCTGGAATATGGAATCAGCTGGATACTACATTGATTGAGAAGACTCAGAAAACCCTAAAAGATCCGGATTCTCTTCGAAAAATAGTGAATACTTGTAGGATCAGCGTCATAAGCTTCACGGTATAACCATAACATTATTTTCTATCCAACTAAGATTACCTATAATTTAAATTATTTATTAATTATATTTATATAAAACTAATAACAAATAGAAAAATTTAGAGAGTGAAGAAATATCTTAAATTACCTTTGATGTAATTTGTTTTCCTTTAAATGGACATCCTAAATGAAGGATAAATCTAATTACATATGTGATACAATTATTTTCCTAAATGTCTTGTTTTTACGCCCCCCCTCCCCCACCCCC